CAGCATCTCATAGGAATAATTCTCGAGTGAGATGTTTCTCAATGACATTGCACTTGTGAGTCGTTCTCTTTGTTGATCTGACAACTCACTTTGAATGATGAAAAACTGTGCAATGAGATTATCCCCGAAGGGAAATGCGTCCCGCTGTCTGTCCTGCATTCCTTGGATATATTGTCTGAGGACTGTAGGATCGTCCTCATTGAGCAGGGCTGGAGGCGGTGCTCGAGCACCGGCTGCTTGCTGATGTCGAGCAATTGTTCTTGCATTTGCGTCCTGTACGGACTGTCGAAATGATGGAGACTGTGCCGTAAAGATTGGCATCAAGTCCATCCATGCTGCCTTCAATCTCATGAGAAGGATTTCGAATTTTGAGGTAAAAATGAGGAACTCTTGGTTCTGCCTTCTGTGGTTGAAGAAACTGAGGAGTCTGTACAGATACACGTTGGTCGCACCTTTCAAAAAGTACTTCTTCAGCGTGTTCTTGAAATAGTTGACTCCTTCATCAGGATCTTGCAAAAGGTCATTTTGGAGGACGGCCTTGTACATGTAAGCATCTCCAGTGAGTCTGCTCTTAAGCAATGGACCTCGCTTGGCTGCTTCTACTGTGGTGATGGTCACCCAGTCGTCCACGAGTTCTTCATACCTGAACCAGCTGACTTTTCCGTCGTACGATGGCGGCTGCTTGGCGGTCATCGATAAATTTAGTGTTTCCTCCGTATAGCTCGGCTTTGCCGAACTTGTATAGGCTTCCATGAAGCCTTCTCCATCTGATGACATCTTCCCTTGGATCTCTGCGGAAAACCCGCTCCGCTACCACATTGAGGCCCACTGCCCCAGGTGCCTATCCCCGGAGGGAACTGGAACCCTGTGGTAGTTGAGGTCGTTGTTGGTCCCTGGATCTATTCCGGAGAGAGTCCAATATGCCAGTAATGGATGATTGGAGGATGGATTGTCCCTGGTGGATTGTCTTGTGGATAATCCTGTAAGCGGCCTGCAATGGCTCTTTTGTCCTCACGCTCGGATGGTCGTGATTATGCAAAAGGGGCACACATGGGGCGGGGTGGGGTGGGCTGGGGGGGTGGGGTGGGGTGTGGGGTGGGTGGGGTAGTGGGGTGGGGTGGGTGCGGTGGGGTGGTGGGGTGGGGTGGTGGGGTGGGGTGGGGTGGGGTGGGGTGGGGTGGGGGGGGGGGCAAAAACATCTGACATCTGACATCTTGCCAAGCGACGACCCAAATTTAAGGAATCCAACAGGTGGCCGTTTTAGGAGGAAATAAGTCTTCTAGGGACCTTCCGTTGGAAGGGAAAGATCGCTCAATCAAAAGGAACGCAACAATAAACAAATGCGCGTACATATATATATATATAGACATATATATATATATATGTGTGTGTGTGTGTATGCATACAATTATAGACACATGTAAGCACGCAAACAGCCACTAGCATGATCTTCCAAAGGCGGCTTTTTGCAGCTGGCAATCGGAGTAATCCTCCTAACTTGAGACTCGCAATCGCGAAACTTAGGATCAAAGTAACACACACACACACACACACACTTGATTTTGAGGCAGTACAAGAACAAGGACAAGGACAAAGCACTCGCATTCAAAGGGATGTCCGTGGAGTTTCGGCATGCTTATCCTGAGACAATTTCGCTCGTGAGAGGCCGTTGATCATACGCTCGTGCCTGCCTATGTGGATTCACTGGAGGACCGCCCTGCTCCCCTGGTCGTGGGTCTCGAGTCGTGTGCGACACGGTGCGGCGTATTCCGGCCAAGCAAAAACGAAGGTTTAACACAGGACCAAACCCCAAACCAGCAAGAAAGAGGGGACCCGCGAAAGGAAAGGGCAACCACAACCAACAGGTTTCAGGGTCCACGCCCAGAACCCGCCAAGAAGCAAACACCCGAAAAGAAAGGATTAGAGGATGATTGGCCCGAAAGCATTTTTCCCCAGGCGCTCATCCAGCTGCGGAGACACCTTTTTACATCGCTGCGGCGAGCGTGTCTGCACGCGGCGATGCTCAATGTGTATGGTCACATGCGAGCTCCATCTCATCGTCCTACGAGAGGAAACATGGCAGTGCTCGATCCCACATATTTACATCCGTTACAACAAGAAGAGCTCTGCGCACAGCTTGGCTCTGTGAAAGTTGGCTCTACGCAAGCTACTTTTCGCGAGTGGCTCTGCGCGACTGGCTCTGTGCAAGTTGGCTCTGCGCGAGTCTGCTTGGCGCAATGTGCTTTGCACGAACTGCGCCGCGCGATTTCTCAGGAAAGTGGTCTGCGCAAGCTGCAGTGTTCCAGGCTGCTGCGCGCAAGTTGCTCTCTGCAAGCTGCTGCACGCAAGTGCTCTGTGCAAGTTGCTCTGCGCAAGTGCTCTGAGCAAGTTGCTCTGCACAAGTGCTCTGTGCCAGTTGCTCCGTGCAAGCGCTTTGCGCATGTGCTCTGTGCAAGTTGGTCTGTGCAAGTTGCTCTGCGCAAGTGCTTTGTGCAAGTGCTCTGTGCAAGTTGCTCTGCGCAAGTGACTCTGCGCAAGTTGCTCTGCGCAAGTGCTGCCGGAGCTGTGGAAATGTACTTCGCGCAGTATTTTTGTACTTGAAAGTTGCGATTTTCCAGCCGGAGCTGCGGGAGTGTGCTCCGCGTACTACGTTTGTACTTAAAAGTTGCGATTTTCCAGCTGGAGCTGCGGGAGCACGCTCCGCATACTACGTCTGTACTTAAAAGTTGCGATTTTCCAGCCGGAGCTGCAGGAGCTGCGATTTTCAAGCCGGAGCTGCCGCGGACCAGGGGGGAATCGAACCCGCGACCGCGGGATTGCGAAAGCAGGCGCGCAAACCACGAGACAACTTCCAAAGGCCATTTCGCGAGCAACAAAATCGCACTTCGCCACAGCGAGAGCGCTTCGACACACGCACGATCTCCGCAGAGGGTTCGCCGAGACTAAGAAGAATTCGCACGGCGCCACAGCCAGAGCGCTTCGACACGCACGATCTCCGCAGAGAGCCGCGCGGGAATATCAAAAAACGCAAAAAACAACTCGAGTTTTTGCACCTCGACCACGCCGATCTCCGCAGAGGGTCGCGCGGGGATATCAAAAAACACAAAAAATCTTGAGTTTTTGCACCTCGACAACGCCGATCCCCGCAGAGGGCCGCGCGGGCACCGACAAAAACGCAAAAAAAAACCTCGAGTTTTTACACCTCGACCACGCCGATCTCCGCAGAGGGTCGCGCGGGCACCGCAAAAAACGCAAAAAACCTCGAGTTTTTACACCTCGACCACGCCGATCTCCGCAGAGGGTCGCATTCCCGATCGTCAGCAACATCCCCACCCCCCGCCTTAAAAGAGATTCTTCATACCGAGCTCTTTCTCTTTCTTTCCCGCGCGTTAAGTACTTACCCTAACTTACTTAACCTAGCTTACACAGCTGCTAACGCCGAGCCGCTACTCCTAGCTTAGCTTAGCTCTATATGCACCTAGCTCTATGCACTTGGCTCTATGCACCTGGCTCGATGCACTTCGCTCTTTGCACTTGGCTCTGTGCACTTAGCTCCGTGCACTTGGCTCCTTGCACCTCGCTCTTTGCACTTCGCTCTGAGCACTTGGCTCTATGCGCTTGGCTCTTTGCACTTGGCTCTGGCCAAGTAACTCTATGCTGGTGACTCCTCTGTGCAAGTATCTCCATGCTGGTGACTCTGCGCAAGTATCTCCATGCTGGTATCTCCATGCTGGTGACTCTGTGCAAGTATCTCCATGCTGGCAACTCTGCGCAAGCTACTCTGTGCTAGTAACTCTGCGCGAGTATCTCCATGCTGGTATCTCCATGCCGGTGACTCTGTGCAAGCTACTCTGCGCAAGTTGGCCAAGAGCTCCTGATATCTCCATGCTGGTGACTCTGTGCAAGCTACTCTGCGCAAGTTGACTAAGAGCTCCGCACGGAAGAACCCTTCGCCATGCTTTCGGGAAAAGAAAGAAGCACAAGGAAAAGGAAAACACGACAAAAATAAAAGAAAAAGGAAAGAAAAAAGAAAAAAAGAAAAAGGAAAAGAAAACCAAAAAGAAAAACAAAAAAGTAAGGCTGTGCAGTGCAGCATCCTGTCATTGACGCGCGGCATGTTGCCTGATCCGTGCCACTACCTAACGAGCCCGAGATCCTGGGTCAGGGTAGAATTCGGGAACAGTCTCTTTGAATCAGTCATTGGAAAGAAGTCGTTGTTTCAGAAGACAGATTCAGGTAAGAGTCCAAATCATTGGTGAAAGTCATTGGCAATGGTCAAAAGAGGAAGGTCGAAGGTCAACGGTAAAAGTCGTTGGTAAAAGTCAGAGGTGCCAGTCTGTACCGGTACGGAATCAGGTGCCCCGAAGGGTTCACGACACTGACCGAAGTCCGGAAGCAGTGCCGACACACACTTGATTTTGAGGCAGTACAAGAACAAGGACAACGACAAAGCACTCGCATTCAAAGGGACGTCCGTGGAGTTTCGGCATGCTTATCCTGAGGCAATTTCGCTCGTGAGAGGCGTCCTCATCAGGGGTGCCATCGCCAATCTCGAGGTACTTTTGAATCAGCAATCCGCATGGTGGCGCCCGACTCCAAAGATCGAAAGACCCCTTAGGAACAGGGGTTTCACACACACACACACACACACACACACACACACACACACACACACACGTGCGAGAATGGCCAACTGCTTCTCACCAACTGCAGGCCTCAGGCGATTGCACCTTGAAAAGACTGCCAGCCTGGATAAGTGGCACACAAGCAAGGGCCAAGCCTGCGACATCTGCCAAACAAATGCGTCAGTCCCTTCTTGGTACGCCTGCAAGATATTGGAGACTGTGCCGGTGCTTGCCTCCCCCCCCCCCCGATTGGAAGCGGACACGGATCCCCCTCCGCAAGAGCTCCAGTTGAGACCCCCATATACAGTGCTGGGAACTGCCGGGTCTTGCTGTCCATTCACACGGCAGCGGAAGGGTAACCTGCAAGGCCCTCTCCTCGTCCCTGTCCCCATCAGTCTGCAACACCCCCAGCACCTCGTCACCCGGCACCTCGCGAGAACTTCCGAGCCGGGCTGCGGGAGGAGTTACTCTCTTGGAGATTGGAGGCCCCAGGTCAATTTGCAAGGGAGCATCATGGCCTGCAGGTCATCCGGGAAGCATAAAAAAAAAAACAAAAAAACGAGGCCAGTTGGAACATCAAAGGCCTAAAACGGGGCGTCCCCTGTGCAAAACACACTCGAAGCGCTCATCGGCCATGCAAAAAAACGGCCTGGTGTGTTTTCTTTTGGAGAGGTTCCATATCCGAACTGGAAAGGGCAGGACTGCATCTCAATGTGCGCGATAATCGCGTTGGGGTGGCTCAGCCAGCTCCAGGAAATACGGATCAGTTGTGAAGCTGAAGTGAGCTCAAGGAAAGAGAAACACGCACCAAGCTCACAAGCAATTAGCTTGATTTCCCTTCCACCAATTATCATGGAACCTGACGTTCGGGAGGATCCTGGAGACCATTTCCTTTTAAAGCGACCGGGTCACTGTCAGGTTTCATGAATGTTGAGAGGGCAATTGCGCTGTTCAAAATGGAAGGGGCATGCTCAACCCATCCTTCAGCACTCGCCTGGCCGATCATGAGCTGAAAGAACCTTGGCGAGCCCACGCGGCACTCTGTTTGCGAGACCTGAAGTCGCCTATTGCCTCATGCTTTCCCAGACCTTCCCAATAGCTGGGTCCGATTCTCTGCACAGGGGTCGAAAATGTCAGACTCCACTGGGCCGGTTTTTCTGGCGCGGGGCATGATGCCGGTGCTGAAGATGTCCCCCTTGGGGTACCACCACTCCGTCTCCCAAGTCTCCGGAGGGATGTAGCCCGGCGTGCCGCTGCAACCGCCTCAGGAAGCCGCAAGCCGCCCCGGGGAAAAAATCCGCCGGCGCCGGTGTTGCGCTTAAAGGGGACCACCGATTCGCCTACCTTCTTGGAACCTGCGGAGAGTCCTCAAAAGCACAGAAGAATGCGAGCTTGCAGGCACAAAAGCCAGGCGTTGCCGAAATCCGACTACTCTCACGCCAAAAGCAATGGTGGAATCGCAAGACTGGCCGATACATGTCAGGGGGGGAGTGTAACAACCACAAAGAGCCCTTGCTCAAAGACAAGGATGTTCCCATCCCTAAATACGTATATATGGTAGAGCGTTGCCAGCCCCCCCCCCCTCCCCCCCCAATGGTCATGGGTCAGGCAAGTACCCCCCCCCCCTGTGGTTGTGGTCCTGTGGTTGGGTTGTGGTGGTTTAGGGTTGGTTTAGAAATGGTTTACGGTATATTTAGGGTGTATTTAGGGTTAGTTTAGGGTTGGTTCAGGGTTGATTTAGGTTGATTTATGTTGATTTAGGGTTGGTTTAGGGTTGGTTTAGGTTCAGAGGTGTACGGTTTAGGGTTTGGTTTAGGGTGATATTTAGGGTTGGTTTAGGGTTAGTTTAGGGTTGGTTTATGGTTGGTTGCGGGTTGGCTTGTCCTGGGGGTGGGGGTGTCGGGGTGTCGGGGTGTCGGGGTGCGAGTTCAGGGGTCGGGGTGGGGGTGGGACCGTAGGTGCCATGATCCGGGGGCTCGGGGTCTCGGGCCGGAGGGGGGGGGGTCCTGGGGGACCATACCATATGGGGGGGGGGTAGCAACACGGAACACGTATTAATATCAAATCCAAAAATCCAGATTACAAATATCTAAATGTTTTTCTTCCAAGTTGGCAACCAACGGTGGAGGAATCCCATTGGAACCCCCCGGTACATCCACGCACCCCCAGCCCCCGGCCCCCCAGCCCCCCCCGCAGGTCCGCAGGTCCGGGCGCTGGAGGTGGAGGTCAAGGCCTCCGCGAGGCCGAAGTCGATGAGCACCACCCGGGGGTTGTCCATGTCGTTGGTGGCCTGGCGGGTCGGCTCCATCTTTGGGTTGGACGTGTCCCCCCCAAACCAATGAGCTACCAATTTTTTTGGGGGAGGGGTCTCGAACCCGTCAAAAACCATCCCTTCAAAAGCCCAGAACACTCGAACTTGCTGTGGCCCGTGCATGGCGAAGCAGTGCAGAAGCCAATCAAGAACAAAGTGTTGGCTACGGAAGGAATCGCCAAATAGACCATGATAATTGTCCAGAAGCCATGGGAAGGTTTCCCGCGGGAAGAAACTGCTTGGACTTGTTTTGGTGGGCAAACCCAATGATGTCAAAGCAGTTCAAAAACGACTGCCCTGGTCTGATAAAAGGCAAAACTGGCCTCTGCGTTGCTTGGATGGGCAACATGGCGGGCTTGCCTTTTACGAAATCGCCCCTGAAAAAACGGCAGTCACAAAAAACGGCGGTGGGGGTTGCCTTTGACCCTTTCTGGCTACAAATGAAGATCGACCTCGAAAAATTTATGGGTCTCAAACAATGCAGGGTGTCCACGCTCTTCGAGGGGCCTTTGGCTACCCCCCAAAGGGATCAAAAAGCACAGTGCTTTTAGCAGTCCAGGCGGATCGACCTGGAAGGCCTGAAATGCGACCCTGTCACGATCATTGCTGAGCATACTCCACGTCATGGGGGTCATGGACGTTGAGCTGCTTTAGAAAAAAACACGCATACAGCATCTTAGGCAGTTAGTGTCAAAGCAAAGTTGGGAAAATGCGTTTATTTCTCCCATGCTCACTTCTCACCCTCACCCTAACACACGGCCCTGCGTTTCGGCAAACCTTCCATTTCCTTGAAAACATCCCCCTGCGAGAAATCAAAGGCTGACTGCATATATGCCCATAGATGTCGCCCTGGCAGGCAAAGATGGGTTCATCATTTCCAGGATCCTTTTCAGATTTGTTTTCTTTTCTCAAAAAGGGTTCGGAATCCTGACGCTTTCCCAAAGAATGGGGGAAAAAAACGGGGGATCAAGCCTCTGCGACCCCGAAGGCGCCGCGGCCATCAATGCAACGCATGACCCTACCTAGCCTTGGGCCTACTGCAAGCCGAGTGAAAAACTTGGAAGGGGCAGGCTGGTGAAAAGGTCGGTGGGGGGAAGGTTGCCAAATGGTGCAAGCCAGCTTTCGCTCTGTCCTCTCTCACGTTTGCTAGACTTGGCCACTGGGCAAAGCGCAAAGCTGACATCACATCCAATGAGGGAATGACCCCTATGAACCAACCCCTGTTGTTTCCTTTAAGGGGGCCAGAAGAGGGCCCACGAGCATCGGGGAACCGAGATCCAGCAGTGACTTCGGAGTCGAGCCACGAGCATCACGTTCTCCTCCTTGATGTCGCAGTGCATGACTGCTTTGGAGTGGAGATAGGCCAGGCCCTCAGGGGGCTGAAACAACACCTCTCAAAATTGGTGCGGCAAACCCAAAAGAAAAGCCCCCAAGACACGAGGCGCTGTTTTGCCGTCCAAGGCGATTGACAAAAAGTGCGGGCAAATCTTTGTAGGTCGGCTTTCTTGCAACCTCACCTCTAAGGTGGTTGCGCCGTGGACTTGTTGGGCTGAGTCATGACAAAGTGTCATCAAGGCAGCACGTGCCGAACACGTCCTTGCCGACATCCTTCAATCACGATCAGTGACTATATTTACATGTGAGACCACTCATGGTTTGATACCTCGACTGGGAAGCGAACGTTGCTCCGTGGGACGCACCAAATCGTTGGAAAAGGCCTCGCCCTCACAAACCCCAAGCAAACCGTCAAAGTGGGCCAGCCCACAATCTGCGCACGAATGTGGAAAAGGAGAGGTGACAAGCTGGCCTGCCAGGAGTATATTTGAAAGGAACGGCTGGCGCTGGTGGATCCGACATGCCAGGTGCTGGCTGCTTGCACAAAGAACTTTGATAGGCAGGAAGGCATTGATCCATCGCTTCACCAGGCCACACCTTTTTGAGTGCGGGTGGGCCTTGGGCAGGCCTCGTGCTCGTTTGGGGTCGTTTCTGCGCTTTGGGTCTTTGGGCTGGGCAGGTTCAAGCTCCCAAAAGCATGCGGAAGCCGCACCCTCCCCAATCTCCGCCCTCCCCAAATCGACGCCCTGGCCACTTCCATGGATAGAAAAATTGCGACCATACCCTGCTACCGTGAGCAACTGCCTTTAGCTGATGAAAACAAGAACTGAACATCTGCAAGTTCTACCAAGCCAGGGGATCCCCAAAGGCTTGAGGCGGATACGGGCGAGCTTCAGACACTCTTTCGCCCTGCCTCGAGACACTGCCGGAAAATCTGACGCCACCAGTCCTCGCTCATGGACAGGCCTGGCGCCCAGCCCACATGTCGGGTCCCTGTGGATGGGCCGAAAGTTCGCACCACGTTGAAACCATGGTTGAACCAACTGCTGGTTGGACTTTTACAAGGGGAAACGAATCATTCCAAATAGCGCAGGAGTTCGCAACCATCCAGAGTGTGTTGGAAAGAAAGGAATGCGGTGGCAGAGCAGAATCTGTGATGCACCTTACTACCATTTTCCGCCGTTGCCAATGTCAGAGGGAAGCCACAGATCGTTTGACAACGCTTACTCTCACTACCCTGGCCTTGGTCGTGGGCCTTCTTTGCCAGCTTGGTGAGGTCCCCGCCGAAGTAGGGCTCGTTCACCTCGGATGGTGAGACAAGCGCGATGCCCACCGGATGCCACAAAGAGGCGCCTTGCTGCAGTACCAGGGGAGATACAAAGAAAACATCTGGTATTGCTGCAGGGCAGAAAACGACCCCGTCCAAAACAATGCATGCGTCCCAACACCCACGAATAAAAGAGCCCAAGCATCATCCACAACTCCAACAGTTCAGGAACTTCCTGGAACCTGCCCCAAGGCAGCCCAATTCCCAGGCTGCCGCAGTCGCTGCTTGGAAGCTACAAACAGGAGCGCCAAAAACCGGGTCTAGCAAACAAGCGCTTCAGGAAATCTTCACTTCCAACCCCCTCCCCTTCCTGCGGAAAACTCAGGCGGGCCACTAAGTAGAAGAACTCCTCGTCCTGGAAGACTTCGTAGGTCTTCGCCACATTGATGTGGCTAAAGTCCATCATCAGGGTGTACTCCGTCAGCAGGTCCTCAGCGTCACGCTCCGGATCATACGACTTAGGGGGGCGGCTTCACTCCATACACTCAGGGCCCGCCCACGCCATGCCATCCCATGGAGGGACGCCCTGCCTGGGGAAAACCCAAAAAGCGCAGGGAACATCCGCTTGGTTTGGGGCCTGCCTGGACCACGCACCGGTTTCAATCATTCCTCCCAAGGGCATCAGCAAGTCCAATTTTGGGATCCCCCAATTTTCCTTCCTCGAATGCCCCGCCTCCAAGCAGTCATCATCCTGCTGCTTGCTGAAGAACTTGATGCAAAAAGGCACCTCGTCCCTCTCGCACAGGTACATCACACCTGCGCAGGTGTGAGCCTGACAGTTGCCAGCCTGCGCAGGAAATGCGTTGGAATCCCGCACCCAGAGCACTTCATAATGAGTTCATCCTGCCCAACTCCATTGACTCCCACGCCCTCTTCTGCGTGACACTCTCTCACCTAGCTGGTTTCCCTAGTTGCTGACCTACGCGGGCTGAACCCAAACGCACGGCCTGCTCGTGCGAGGCGAGCCACCCATTACATGCCTCAACGCATCCCGGACAAAGGATCCTTCATAGTCTGTGCCTAGCTCCCCGTGCGCGACATGTGATGCAACTTCCGAACTTCTGCGGGGTCCCAATCACTCCGGGCTTCGGACCTTCAAAGGGACCCCAAAGCAAGAGGCAACCATCTGCCAAGCACCAGGGTTGGGCCAACCCCTTGCTCCAACATGGCTGAACCACTAGTGTAAACAACCTGTTGGTTTCTGCAATGGGCAGATTCTGGCTCAAAAACTACCCAAAACCCCACCTCACACCTCAGACCCCCCCGCCCCCCCCGCCTTGGCCGCCCTGGCCGAGCTCCCGCTCCACCGTGAAGCCCGCCTCCGCCAGGCTCATCTCCGGCACCTGGCGCTGAGGATTTACCGGGTAACATGGAAACAGCGGGAGTTTTTAGGGCTTAATGAGGTAGGGGGTTTAGGGTCAACCCATTGAAATGAAGTGGAGACCAATTTTGAGAGGAACCTTCTGTTGAACCCCCCTACTTGTTGTCACACGCGGATGTGGAAAAACAGTGGGTCTGCCGCTTCCATACTGTGCATGGACGAAATCCTGCACCGCTTTGAAACCATAAGAACCATTGCTGGTTGGCATTCACAGGCAAATTGTCACTTCAGGGTTATTTCGTCCATCCACAATGGGCAAAAAAAAATGCTGCACCACCTCAGAAACCCCGCAACCATGCCCCCCTGTAAATACCAGCAAACGATGGGTTTCCCATGGTTTCTCAGGTGGTGCGCAATGGCTGTGAAGCAAAAACAGGTACCCAAAATGGGTTGCCCTGGCAAATGGAAACATGGACTAAGGCCCGACGGTCCACTGGGGGTTTAATTTTGGCCCACGCCCAAATGGATCTCGATTTCAACCGTCCACAGCACGTCACCAGAGATCCAAGGGAGTCCGGATGGCCCGCCTCCACCTCCAGCCGCCGGGGCCCCAGATCTTTGCCTCGGGGCCAGCCCGCCAGCTCTTGGGCCCGAAAGCGCGTTTGGGGGTCGGCACACCTGTTTCAGGTCTGGACGCAAATCCGGGCCTTGTTTTGGAAGATCAGCTCAAATTGGTGGTTTGGAGGATTGGTTCAGAAGCTCAAGAACCGGGGCTTCAAACCGCCGACCCGAGAACGGCCCTCCTATTTTTCTGGGGCCCCTGGCGCTTCTGCCGGAGGATGCCTCGAAACAGCACCTGAAGGCTGGCCGCGCCGACTTGCTGGTGCGGCAGGGGATGACGAGGAGTCCGGGTGTTGGGGTCATGAACCAGTTTTGGGAACTCCTGAATAAAGGAAACCATAGGACGGATGGTTTTCATAGGAGTCATTCCAGCTCATTTCCTCCTTCGAACCAGCAAGACCTGTCAAGAAGTGAGTTCACTGCCAACCTACAAGAAGAAGCACAACATCTGAGACCTCTTCACATCTTGAGTGTTTCAAAATAAGAGGTGTACCCCAGGGCGTGTTTCCAGCATCGTGGGAGAAAAGACGCGGCAAAACCTGAGACCTGTTCAAATTTGAGCCCTTCACCACCCCCCCCCCCAAAAAAAAAGAAAGAAAGAAAGAAAGAAACAACTTTCATGACAAACAAACAAACAAACAAGCAAGCAAACAAATACAGAAACAACCAAGCAATCACGAAGAAGCACAATCAGAAGCGTTGTTTTCCTCTTGAACCCAAAAGACAGCTCGCCGTGGGCGCCGTGCACTGCTGCTTGTCCAGCGCCCCCTGGCCGTCGAAGTCAAAGCGCTGGCACAGGATCTGCACGTCGCGGAAGACCTGCGGCGGCACCCCCAGGTGCTCCGCCAGCTCCGGGGCCTCGGCTTCTCGGCGCTGCGCGGCTTCTCGGCGCTCCGCGGCGTCGGGCGGCGGCTTTTTTTCAGGTCGGAGCTGGGCAAAAGGGAAACTGACCAAGGACCCCTTCGCATCTTGTCTGTTTTCTTTCATGTTCCTTTTTGGTTGCGGGTAGGTGCAAAACGGGCCTCTTGTTGGTGGGCATTTGGCGAGCTGACTTCCTGGTGCGGGTTTCTGTCAAGGTGGTGGGGCTTAAGGCTCCAGCATATTTGTCTCGGCAAGCAACTGAGTCGCTTGCGCCACCACCTCCTAAAATTCTAGAAATGACTTTGCTTTATGGACTAGTGGGCAACCCCGGGGAGGTGGGGTGGGGGGCGGGTTCCAGACTTCGTGTTCCCAAGTCGAAGCCTCACTTCGCCATGGCTCCATCTCAGCCGCCTGCTTGGCTGTGAGCGCCGGCCGGCCATCGCTGGTCTTGGCCCGCGCGTGCCGGCGGAAGAACTTGTGGATCGTGTGGTTGGTGAAGAGATAAGACAGCTTTCCTGAGACTCGCACACAGCTTTCCTGGAAGCTTTGCCCATTCAAGGGAGGCTTTCCCAAAGAGGAGAGTCCCTACTTGCCGGATCGATCGATTGGGTACGTCTACTCCCCTTGGACTTGTCCCGCAGGATCAGAGAGATGCCAACGGCTCGGCGTGAACCGACCAGCCGCCAAAAAACCCCGTAAACCCCAGCTTCAGGTCCCTGGACGATTCAAGAGAAACAAGTAAACCCAGCATCTAAGGAAACACTCACAGAGGAACGCTGATGGGTCCGCCACTGTTGCTTGGCTGTGAATTGAAGAGAACCAACGCGAAACCAGCCACTTTCCATTGTGGGGGCCTAACATGCTCCCAGAAGGCGACAAATGGAACTTGCTCTTCCGAAGTGGTGGGAACTTCAATGGAATTCTCTGGGGAGGTTCGTTGCTTAAGTCCCGATAGGTGTTTATCTAAAGACCCCCCCCCTTTTCGGGGGGAAAAATGATTTAGTGGGTTGCCTTGTGAGCGCCATATAGCACATATAGCACATATAGCAAGGACCCGGGGAAGAGTGGAGGTTCTGCGGCTTGCCTTGTAAGAGCCATATAGCACATATAGGACGTAGCGGACCCGGGGGACTGTGAGGGTTCGCTTGCTTTTGGGGCAATCACCCCACCCCCACACCCCCCCCACCCGACCCCCGCCGCGGCTCCCAGGCGCTTGTCCAACACCTCCGCCGCCCTGGCCCGCTCCTCCGGGCTCAGCTTCCTGGGCCGCGCCTCGCCTCGGAAGTCGTCCGGCGAGTTGGTCAAAGGTGACGTGTCGTCAAAAATGACCTTTGCGGCCGGGGTCGGCCCGCCGACCCCGGCCGCCGACCCAGGCAACCAAGCAACCAACCTACCAAGCAACCAACCAACCAGGCAACCAACCCACCAGGCCGCCAACAACCAGGGCTGTGCCATAGACGGAATCCATTTTGCAAGCAAAGGCGACTGCATCAAAATGGGTTCTAAGGTGACTCTGAACGGGGGGGGAGTTTGTTTTGCAGCGCCAAACCCCGAAATTCACGATACCCTTCACAAACAGGCTCCAAGATAGACGAAGTCACCCCACCAACGGGTGCCAAGGCTAGAGACAACCAGCTTGGATGTGTGTGATTTGTTTGTTTCTTCTTCTTCTTGTTTCTTTTGGGGGGGGTCTCGTGAAAACAAACGAGTCAACGGGGTCTCTATTTGTTAATGTCATTGCCATGTTTATTTCTCAGGGAAGAAAGAAGCTGCCTTCCTACCTTCAGCTGAGCGCGCTGCTCTCGCTACCACTGCTTCCGCTGCTGTCGCTTCCAGTACATGCCATGGAGCAAAGCGGCGCAGAAGTTGGATTGAAGCGGGGAGAAGTTTTCTGTCAGTAGATGTCTTGTGCCGCTCCCGCTTTGCATCATTTGCTTGTGCATGTTCCGGAGCAGAGGCGGCTTTTTGCGAAGCTGGCTAGTGCCCCAGCACATTGACCACGGCTTCCCAGCCAAGTAAAGTATAGGTTCGCATTTTGAGTGGCCCTCTGGCGGCTTTTCTGGGAGTTTCACATGTGCTGCCTCCCGGTGCACAGGTAGCTCAAGGAAGGGCTCTCAAAAGAAAAGGAAAAACGAACGCACGAGTGACTGCCTGTGAGGCCATTTTGGGATCGGAGCTTCACCAGAAAGCCCCCGTCTTGGTCGCAGGCACTTCCAGAGGCTCAAAAGCTGCGGGGGCTTTGAAGGTGTGCGTCCATGCTTCGAGGCATCTCCAGTTCTGATCAAAAGCGTCCACAACTCCATGCATCCATCCACCCTTCCAGGGCCTGAAAGCATCACGGTTAAAAGGAACCTAACCACAAGGGGTGAGCCCCTTTTCTTGGCCCAGACTTGTGGCGGCCAAAGAAAGGGCCTTTGAAAGGGGCAAAAGGTAGTTGGCCCAAACGCCAAGCTACACGATTCAAACTGCTCATGGCCCACACATCTCTCTCTCTCTCTCTCTCATCTTTTTTGTATCATCTCTCTCTCTCTCTCTCTCTTGCTTTCGCCCTCACATCCTTCATAAGCATGGCAAGGTGATCAAGGACAGCAACACACACACACACACACACCTCTCTCTCGTGTTGCACACTCACCCAAATCCAAACCCTCCCCCCAACATCGCTGCACAGGCGGCTTGCGGCCGTTGCCAGGGCCTGGCTTGCGCCCCACAAAGCGCGGGCGGTTTCGATTTCTATCATGTCGGGTTATTGCCTGGCCGATGGAACACCTCCCGTCTTGGGTCAACCTATCTATCTACTTGTCTTATTTCTCTCTCTCCCTCTCTCTACCTACCTGCCTACCTGCCTGCCTACCTAGCTAGCTGTCCATTTATCCACTTATCTACCCCTCTCTCTTTCACTTTCTATCCATCTATCATTACATATCCGTCGATCTCGATCTATGGCTCTCCAGACCTCGGGTCTCGTAGAAGAGCTCCAACTCCCCGAAGCACTGGCCGCAGCGATCGTAGGTGCAGACCTTCTCGGGGGCTCCCTTGGAGCCGCTGGGGCAGTGCAGCACGTCCACCACCCCGTCCTCGAATCGGAGAGAGAGGCTCCAGCGGATTATTTTTATGTTATTACAAGTAGTACCGCGCAAGGCGGTGGCGGAAGTTTCTAAAAAGAACCACTATAGGAGGCTTGAACAACCAGGGCAAACATGTTTGGGGCCAAATTGAAAACCAATCATGTTTTGTTTGTGACGAACATGGCCAAACGGTCACAAAAGAAATCAACAGGTCATGTCTTCACAGGCAACTATTCCACCGCTCGGACAAAAACTGGAAAGAAAACCTGGCTGACAGGGAGCCTGCCTGACCGCAAATGTTTGACAAGTCTTAAGCCTCCATCATTTACCCTTTGTTACCATCCGCCCGCCCGTTGTCCCACCGGCTCTTTTTCCTTTTTATGCGGGCAGATTCACTTTGTCTCTGTTCAAGGCAGCACGGTCAGAAAAGACGCATGCTGCCAGGCAAGGCACACTGCAAGGCACACGGCCTGGCAAGCGCCGGGCGGTCAGAAAAGACGCACCCTGGCGCATCTCAAGCGCATTCAGCGCTGTCTTGTCAAGCGTTCAAGGTCATCGTGCACCTCTTGCGCCGCGGTGCGAAGCTGGAGACACTCGTCAATGTCATTTTGCTCGAAGTGTTTTTTGGCGTGCAGCGGAGTAAAGGCAACCAAGCCGGGTATGTCTTGGCCTTCGTTGCTGTGAAACTCAGGGAGCCAGCGGGGAAGGCCTATGAGCATCACGCGGTCATCGCCGTCTGCTGCTCTTTCGTCCGCACGGGCCACAAAGCCTAACTCCTGCAAAAGCGTGCGAAGATACTGGCTGGCCCGCTGGTCTCGCGCGCGCGGGTCAGCCCCTTTGCTTCCGATCTCCGTGTACCTCAAGTATCGCTGCGCGTTCAGAGTGGCCATGATGCCGTGTGTTTTGTTGAAGCCATGCCAGTGTGGGCACACGGTGCCAAAGCCCATAAGCTGCTTGTGCCTGCGACATCTTCCAAGAGGGCATGTGTCGTGCACCAAGTAGTGCTCGAGGTCCCCCGCATCGTTTAAGTATCCAATGGGGCGATACTTTTCACCCCACATGGTGCAGCAAACGGGTCGCACCACAGAGCGGGCAGCGTGGTGCCTCTTGCGGTAGTTATGCGCCACCCAGCCGGCATCGGCATCGCCAGGACGCGTGCGCTGCGCTCTGATGCCGCAGCCTAAAAGAAAGTCATACAAGGCAACATCCCAAGCCTCCTGGCGCGCCAAGTGCACGGAAGCACACATGCCCAGCATGAGCTCCACGTGTGCTCGCAAGTGTGGATGCATCACACTGTCGGGCCTCAGCGTGGCCATGATTTCAGCTCCCAAAGCTTGCAAGTGGATTTGCGCTCCAAGGGCTGAGACAGGGGCAGAAAAGCCGCCTGCGTGGCCAGCAGCAAGGGCAGAAAAGCCGCCTGCGTCTGACATCCACCAAGGCATGCCGAGATTGGATTGCTCGAAAGAGGCTCGCCAGTCCCTTGAAAGCAGGACGTGCCCCAAAGTCATATCTGCAGGCACCGGCAACGGGACTTGCAAGCAGACATCCGTCTCGGAGATCACATTGTCCCGCAAAGTGTTTAGGGGCTCACCAGTGTTGTCGCCCCAGTTCACCTCCATCGCCCCGGCCGAGCATCGAATGGCCGGCAAGGCTCTCGGCAAGGGCAAAGCGCCGCTTGCCTCCAAGTAAACATCGTGCTCCATAAAGGACTGCCGCGGCGGAAGCTCCGGCAGCAAGCCGAGATCGGAAGCAGCCACATGGCGCCGCACCTGCTTCAAGTCTGCCCGGTAGCCCTCGGGGATCAAAGGATCCCTGCACATAAGCGCGTACTCTTCCGAGAAGGCAGTCTCATCAATTTCGTGCGCCACGTCCTGCTGCGCCGCCCACCAAGCCTCCCAGTCGGCAGTGTCTGGCAGCAATAAGCGGAGAGCGTTGCCTTGCCAGCAGCTCGGACGCGCCGTCCGGTGGAGCCACGTGACGTAGCAGTACTTGTGCACCACGGCCCAGATATCAAAATTTTTCGCCTCCTGCAGCGGCAAAGCCACCAGTCTTAAGAAGGTGCTGGACAGCAAAAATGAATAATTCAAGGTGAGCACCGACCACATGTAAAGGACGACCAGACACTGGAAGAGCGCCATGGCCGGCATACCACCAAGAGGCAACTCCGGAAAAACCTCCGCGGCAACAAGCATACGCTGCAGCGCTGCAAGCTCTTGCTGCAACTCCCGACTAGATGCCAGCAACTCGCTAGCGTAGGCAATCAAGCCTTGAGCGTCCTCCGCGCTCTGTATGACCCGGAACGAAAGCAAGGTCGCGTCCGAAGTAACGTCAAGCAAGCAGTCCACCCCGCGCCGAGACAGCGTCTGCGCACCTGGCTGAAAGAGCACGCCGTGGGGCATCGCAAGGCAGCACCAAGCACAGCGCGGTGTCCTCCACGTCGGCCGCGGCAGATTGGGCCACCTCTGGCGCGAAGGACACCCTTTTCTTTTTCTTGGCGCTGGGCGCAGCCGCGGCGTGGGCAGAGTCGTCCTGCACGTCAGCCCACGCAGGTCTGCGAGTCGTGGCTGCTTTCGGGGAGGCGGTCAGAAAAGACGCACCTTCCCCGGCAGCGGCGGGCAGAAAAGCCGCACCACTGCCAGAGGCTGCTCTTGGGGAAGCGTTCAAAAAAGCCGCAGCAGACGCTGCTTCCGGGGAGGTGGTCAGAAAAGACGCACCATCCCCAGTAGAAATGAAGTGCTCGTGTATTTCCGCTGCAAGCGTGTCCCAAGGCGTGCTGAGCTGAAAGGGACAGGCGCACAAGCCACAGCGCTCCGGGACAGCTTGCTGCAGAGCGCGCATGATAGGGCACCAGTGGCGGGCCATACGCACGCGGGAAGCTTGCTGAAGTACAGCGCGGCCTTGAGCGGTAAGGGCAGCGAGGCCGGCGCCTTCCAGCCAGTCTGCCAGCCAAGCTTTTCTGAGGGGCGTGCCGCGCTCGGCGGCAGCCGCTTGGATGAACTTGCGCGTGTCGAGGCAAATATCGCTGTAGCCAGCGGATACAGTCGTGGACGTCTCTCGAAGGTCCTTGTCCAACAGCTGCACGCTGTGCAAGTGCGCCGGAACTCGGCCGCCAAGGAACATCCGTCGGGTGCGCGACACCACCAGGTCCGCCTGTCGGAAGCAGACTTTCGCCGCCTTGTTGTCGCGGCATTGAGCTGCTTCGCTCAGCTCCGCTTGCACTCGCCGCTCCGCGGCCCACTGCCAAGTAAACCTTCGCTGCTGGATCCCCAGCAGGTCGTAAAGAAGCTGGAGCACAAAGTATAGCATCCGCGAAGAGAACACGCTGCGATGCTTGCCAGCATTGCAAAGACAAATCAGCCGGACCTGTGGCACTTTCTTGCCTTTGCACACGTGGCGCAGCCAGCACACCACAGTCAAAGTCAAGGCCCACATGGCGTTGAACAAATAATTGTCGCCACCCTGCTCGAACTGATGCCAGAGACAGCCACCGTCCAGCGTGTGCTTCCAGCAGCTGTGCACCCTGTGTGCAGTCATGACGTCATCAAGCCAGAGCAGCAACGCCGGCACCACCACTGTAGTGGAAGCTAAAGCCTCGGTCAAGCCATCCCGATCGGCCTTGGCCCCGTCAAACTCCGAGTCCCATCTCGGGTGGCAAACGTCCGTTTTGCCACCGGCGTAAAAGCCAATCCAAGAAGGCAGGTCGGACACCGAGTCTCGCAGAAGGTCTGCCAGCAACACAAATGCCGGATTCGGCGCAGCCATGGCGACGCCAGGCGGG